TATTTATAACTATTAAAGAGAGAGGGAGAGTAGAGTATAATTCTCATTCCGTAAATAAGAATATGAATAATTAGTTGTATGAAAACATACCCCTCATAACGTAGATCTAATAATATATGTACACCTAATAATCCAACAAACAATCTAAACTCCTCTCATCCAAATCCAACTCATTAAAAATCCATATAATCCCCTATCTAATTCTCTTCCAACTCACTAGCCCTACCGCCAACCTCCAAACCAAACTGTTGCACATCTACAAATTAGCTCAAAAAACTAATTAATCATCCTTTTGCTTTTCCTCGCTTCACTAACCTTACCTACCTACCTAGGTAATCTACCTATATACTATCGCTTTGTTGCGTATCTACATTTTAGCTCGTGTGTACTACGGTCATTACGATGTGGAAATGGTATAATATTAGGAGTAACTTTTTGAGGGGATTAGAGGATAGAGGGTTGAGGCTAGAGGCTAGAGGTTAGAGGCTAGAGGGGGGTTTGTGGTGATGTGGTGGGAAGGGAGGGGCGAGAGGTTATGGATTTGATATTTTAGCTTAATTCAATATGAAAATAGGGAGATAGTAATTTTGAGAGCAGAAGAAACTAGATATTAGAAACTCTTTGTTGCATATCTGGGTTTTTAGTGAGGGGGCTAGAGAGCCTTTTGTGGTGGTGTAGTGTGAAGTAAGGGGTGAGGGTTTGCGTATGCGATATTTTAGTGATATTTTAGTAGTAAGATAGGGAGATAGTGTGATAGTAATTTTGAGATTAGAGGAGGAACTAGAGGTTAGAGATTCTTTGTTGCATATCTAACTTTTAGTTCGAGGGACTAGAGATCTTTTTGTGGTGATAATGAAGGGCAACGGACGTTTGTTGCTCGTCTGGTTTTTTAGCCTCGATATACTTTGAGTAAGGATGCGCGTTCATGGGTTCTTTTGATCATGCCCTCACGCGAATATGGGCTTATGAGTAACCTGCAGACAATTATAGTATATTCATGATTTTAGTTTAGAAGACGAGAGATGCATTAAGATTGATATAATCGAACAAATGATCGAGATGAAAGTTATGGAGGCGTTAGAGAGGGAATGTGATGAGAGTGGGATATTGTTGGTTACTTGGTTAGTTGGTGGTTAGTTACCTACCAATTGGTGCTAAATCGCTTGCGGCGGGCCGGCGGCATTGCTTTGTTTATTTGGTGTTGGTTTCTGCGGCGTAGACTTTTAGTCCTGAGGATGATCGCTCGTATTGAGATGCGGATTCGATTCGAGTAGTTTGTTTGCTTTTGGGTTGATGTTGGTTGGTATTATTGCTGGTGTTGGCGTTGGTGTGGTCTTGACTCAATCATTTCCTTGAGTTTTGCCGTTGTGGTTTTGGTATTGGAGGCTATGTTGTTGTGTAACATGATGATTTTAGCTAATGATTATTCTGAAATTTACTTAGTTAGTCATACTTTTGCTCACCCGGGATCGCATTAGTAGCTTATAATAGCATAATAACTATAAGCCCTAAAACCACCAACACGTCCCTCGGCCTCACCAATATCACTTTAGGGACATTAGGTACATTAGTTCAGGCCTCTAATTCAGGCACTTTAGGCATTCGAGTTAGACGAATTCAAGGCATGATGACCTAGTCTAGTGTTGGATCTCGCTTACCATTAGGGTCAATTATGCTTGCTAGGCGTGCGAGGTTAGGGATTAGGCGGTAAGAGACGGTAGCTAGGCGGTAACAATAGGCAGGATTGGGACATGGTAACGCCGCGCAATGAAGGCAACTAAATTTTCTAGTCGACAACTAAGCTGCAAATATTTTCAAAGCATGAAAATCTCATTTTAATTTATAATTAATTCATGATGGCTCGAGGACTTAAGTAATTGACTAATTGATCCACCTACGTAGAACAATCAAAGTTACAACTCTTTTTGTACGTCAAGCTATCAATAAACACTAGTGTGTATTGGAACTATCGTCGTCAAGGCTAACTATCCCTATTAATACACCTGATTAGATGCATATGATATGTATGTACTACCCTAACAAAGTCATCTGATATAAATTTATTTTCCTCCTATTGTACATGTTCTCCTTACCTCGGCACGTTACCAATCCCTCTTTCCTATCCCCTTTATCATCAGCATAACCGTAAACATCCCAGCTGGCAGCGGCATCATCGTTAAGCCTTAACGTTCTGCCCGGTCCCATGTCCCCACTTCGGCCGTCCTGACCACACATCCCAGTGTTTTGTTTTGTTTCACATCCAATTAGCCCCCGTTAGCCTCAGCCTTAGCCTCAGCCTTAGCCTCAGCCTTAGCCTCAGCCTTCACTCTTTTAGCCTTGCTTCATGGATTTACTAGCGAGTACATTTAGGGGCCTCGGATTTTTGTCCCTGCCAGCGTCAAGTGACCTCTAGTCAGGATTATAGATTAGATATGATCATACTAAAATTCCTGACATGCAACAAACGGCTGGTAATAAATTAACAACTGCAACTAACTTTTGAGGGGTGCAACAAAAAAATCTCGAATGTGGATATTTTGCCTGTGATTCCTGCAGGACTAATAACTAATGCAAAAGCTAAGTTTTGAGGTGTGCAACAATACAATAATGTGATCTCGATGAGTGAATATTATTGGCGCCAGTATTGATACTGTTACCATGTCTGCAGAGCTAATGGAAAAGCTAAATCTTCAGGTCCGCAACAAAATACTCATTCTGTGAGCTAATACGAAAGCTAAGTTTTTAGATGTGCAACAGGCGACTGATTTTGAGCATGGGGGTATGATTCAGTGAATTATAAGTACGGCAAAATTACAATGTGATCATTTCGGATAGCTTCGAGCTTTATGATGGATATGGATTTATTTGATATGACAGAATATGATATGAACGATTCCATGAATATGCACAAAAACATCACAGCCGTATCATGAAATTAAAGCGAGTGTGTGGTCTGGTTTTATCTTTCCTGCAATACCCAAGTCTACTTCTCCTCCTACGACGGCAGGGCCCCTTACTATAATCTATTGTTGAAGGGTTAGTTGATGTATACTATCAAAAGAGGTGGGGTATATGGGAAGGGATTAAAAAAAGGGTAGTATACCTGTCCAACGGAAAATGTGTCAGAAGTTTGATACTCCTTGGTATCCTTTAAAAAGATCTCGACGGATGGAGGAGGCGCTCCAAAGTGCGAGTATTTCTCCGAACCATCATCTACTCTGTAATCATATATACCAGTTTGAGATACAGCACCTGCGACCTTTGATGCTGTAAGGGCGTAGACGATTCTTGAGCCTGTGTAAATACGCAGATCTGAGAGCATTTCAGCGCTCAATGGTGTTGACGGTGCGCCAACAGGTTCGGAAACGTAAATTAAGCGAAGTTTGCCAGGTGTTGTGCCAATAATTGGGCGAAGATGATCGTACATGCGGGAAAAGACGGTGGCAATAGGCATAACACCATTTTGGACCAAAGATCGGGTTTGAAACCAGTGGACGACTTGATAGAGTGGTGAAGTTAAGTTATCCTTGGTTTCTGCATGGAGTTTTGCGAGAGTGGTGGAAGAAGCAACAACAATTGTTGGAGCTGTACCCTTCGTTGCTAGGACAAGATCGGGATCTTTGATGGCAACAGATGTTAATGCGACGGAAGAATTCGAGTAAAGTGCCGAAAGAGTTAAGATCAAAGGATAGATCTTCGATAGTGGTTCCGCAGAGAGAAAAAGATCTTTAGATGTGATACGCTGAACAGTGGGGATGGAGGAGAGTTGACCGGAAACACCGGAAACCAGCACTGATTGAGTGTATTCCACGAGTTCTCCATTAGGCCAAAATGTAACGACTTTGTTAGGCTCCTTATCATTCTTGTCAACAACAGGTAGTTCGGAACCTGCATGAGCCTCTTGATCTTGAAGAATCTCTTGCCAGGTAGAAACATTCACAGCTCCGCCAGTACCCTTTGGAATTTCATTCCAGTCCATATGCTTGCTGCCATCATCCACCACCCATATCATTTGCTGTAAAGCGGGGTATGACTTTGTCACTACATCAAATGGGAAAGATCCAACGGCTGCAATGACCGTATCTGCTTTGGACTTTTGTATCAATTCTATTAAGCTTTCGGGTGATTCGTCGTATGGTAGAAGTATCGCCCTGAGATCGTAGAAGGCACAGGCGAACAACGTTGCGACGTATTCAATAGAGTTTGGTAAATATATGGCAACGTTCGTTCCGCCATTTTGCTTGATGTGTTGACCAATCAAATTGATCTGACGAGTAACATCGGCTGTATCAAAATTAGTAAAGCGAAGGTATTGATTTACAGTGCTGTACAAACCAAGCTTGTGAGTGACTAGTTTATCGGAACCATATATTGTCATGAGGCTACCAATTTCTCCAGTCTCTTTCCCTTTCGTATCGACAGCTCCAGTGACTGCTTTACGCCAGATATCTCGCAAGTCACCATTACGCCCTGGGGTCCATTTCGAGTCACCTGGGTCTTTAACGTTGAGTCCTGAGTTGAGAGGTATGCCGTGAGGGGAGGTGTGATTTCTGAAGACGGCGGATTGTCCTTCTTGTCTGACTGGTGATGCTTGTGATTGACGGGCCAAGAGCATAGGATGTGAATCCGGATCGCGAGATGTTATAACTGTGTAAGCAAAGAAGCCGATGAGAACCGTAACAATTAGGGTTGAATAAAGATCCCAATCGCTGAGAACGTCCGTAATGCTCTCATCGAGATAGAGCATAATATTATCGAACCCCATCTTGAAAGATGTTTAGAAAACGTATTTGTGGCTACAATAAGTTCAAGGTGTCTTCATCAGGAACAATTTCTAATAATCGTTTCAAGAGATACTCCGTGGGCGGGTATTTAGAGTTGCTTGGTGATAGGATAGCTTTCCTATGGGGCGGTGTGATGATATCCGGCACTAATCGATACAGCCAATCAATCGACAGGGGTGTAAAGTCGCGCTAACACCAAAAAAGAAGCGCGCCTTGAGCTTTAGCAGAATTCACGATTTCCTGATCAAAACAACTTGGGAAGAACTATCAAGAAAGGTTTTATTCCTTCGATAACCTTCTCGACAAACAACAATGCGGACATAGATTTGATCGTCAGTTCAATTGAAATAATACTAACCATAAAAAACAGGTAAAGTTGGCTTATTATCAGCATCAAAAGTGAGTAGTATGATCTAAAGCCTCTATTTACGTTTGGATTTGACTTGGTTGCTAACGGGTACGACTAGGAGCTTACCAACCTCCCAGCAAAGCTTAAAGGCTTCGTATATTCTCAAATATGTCTACAATGATACGTACCCCTACTACACCAGCAACTCAACGATCATCACCAGCGTCGGCAAGAAAGTCGGGGTTTGGAGAACCACAACCATCCACTCCGCAGGCGGGAACCTGGAAACACCCCAAATTTGATGAAATCGCAAGACGACAGAATGTGGCCACTTTCACAGATCAAAACATGAGGCGACTTCTATGGAATGGTGTGGGATTTGTTGTGCTATGGTACATTGGACAAACAATTTGGAGAACGTAGGTACACCAGATCCAGAATGCAATATTATGTGCTAATTGTGATCCCAGTTTCCCTGGTTATTTCTTCGGTGAAGCTTTGTTTCCAATGTTTGCGTCCTGGACCTTTCGAATAATACAACTCTGCCTCATTTTTAATATTGTTGTTGCACTTCGCCCATTTTATACGAAACGAGACAACATGGAAGATATACCTTTGACGCCCGCTCAACGAAAATTGCTTGGGTTAAAACCTAGTTCAAGACCGCCTACTCCAGGGTCGGAGTATGTTACTCCACCGAGATATAGGAGGACTTCAACACCCCTGAGCAGCTCGCCTGCGAATCGAAGAGGAAACCCAGCTTCTGGAAGTCCTTCCGGAAAGCGATCCGAAAGTCCGCACACCCAAGACGGCCTGGAAAGCTTGATCAATCCACTGGGGCCCGTCTATTCGCCAGGTGCAAGTCCCTTGTTACAGAAGACTCTCATGAGCGGAAGTGGTAACCGGAGGTCTTCATATGGCTCAAATCCTCTCGGTCGATCTATTGGGGATCCTGGCACACCAAGTCCATTAGGTGTTGCGAAACCGTCGAGTGTTGGGTTAAATAATAAATGGCTTTACGAGAAGGGAAGGAGAAATTCAGGCAATACGCGATTGTATACATAGATTTTAGACTTGATGGATTGTGGATATAGATAGATACCCTTGTGGCCCGCGTTACTATGACTTTGCACCTGCATTATTGAATACTGGTACTTGACATTATCCTGATGATTCTCGGTCTGCCTCAAGACGTCATTTAATTGAGTAAGTGATTCAGAGAAATTCATGTTTTGTTTCGTGATATCTGTGATATCTATGAATCTTCCCTAGCTATTCGTAGAAGAAAAAACAGGCAGGATTTGATCATTCAATTCTCTATTGAAATCTCATGGATTAATTAAAATAAAAACCAATCGTAAATGATTTATATCAAATTCAATAAGATTTTAAGAAATAACAGTTGCTTATTATTCGAATTAGATTTAAAATAAATAATTTACTTTATATATTGTTTAAGAGGAGTAATGGAGTTGTAAATATATCATAGAAATGGTCAAATTACGCTGCTTCCCCCTCTACGAATAGCCTAGCATGTGAAGATTGGCTCCAGTGAAGGCTATCTTATCGTCCGGTACAAAGAAGCTTCGTCAACAATCTAGAACATTTATTACATACATATCAAACAACGACCACAACTCCAGGTCCAGATGCAAAACACAATTAAGGATGGGAGCTTCCGACTCGAAACTAGTATTTAAGAAGGGTATCTTCCGACTTTCCGAGGACAAGATCATTCCTGCCGATGACCCATATTGGGCTTCTGTGAGTGATCGCACATCTTCAGCTGGAGTTATTACTGATTGAGCCTTGTGTAGTTTTGGGAGTTGCCAGAATCCACAGAAGACATTTTCAGTCTCTTCTCCCCCGCAGATATTCGAAGAACTCGCGATACGGCATTGGAAAACCTAGAGACTCTAATACTAGCAATAACCAGCCGACTTTTTGTTCTCCGCCATCACCCCTCATTCCCTCATCCAGAGTTTGCTCCGGAAAGAGATGCATTGAATTGCATTCGAATCCTCACACGCATTCTGCCATATGTATACGAAGCCGAAAAACTACAATCATGGGAGGAGACATTTTTTTGGGGTGTGAGGAGGAAGCGGACACGGTACATAGTCGCAGATTGATCTTGATTGATTCAGTCACTGACTGTGTTGTAGCAAGGCAGCCCTCGCCCGAGACGTGATATTTGATGAATCCCAGGAAGAACTACAGAAACTCGAAGCTGCGGCGCAAGAATTCGAAGAGGTAAAGCCCTTGGCAGAAGAATTGATCGACACTTTGATCGATTTGTTGTTCTTTGCAGATTTTACCCTTCCCAAACCGCAGAACAGTAAGAACAAAGTATCGTATGCCATCTGGCAAAGCGGAGTAGGGTGTAATACACCAGTCGGCACCAGTAAAGAATTTGAGAACAACCGCACCGAGATACTAAGATTGCTCTTGACTTTAACCAGTCAGAGCATGTATATGTCGGCGAACTTACTGCCTGTGCAAGGCGTGAAAGCCATCACATATATCGCTACTTGTCCAGACAAACAGGTTGTGTTGTCTGTATTGTGCTCTCTACTGAACACTGTAAGATCATACTATCCCCATTTAAAGCCAAATACTAACATGCATGAAGACTTTAAAATACAACCCAGCAAAATGGCAAGTGCCATATAATGTACAAGTTTTCAAAGACCCAAAACAGATTCTCGTCGCATATGCATTGCAGGTCAGTCGGCATACTATCCATTGATTTCAGAATCTGACGCTCGAACCTCGTAGTTTTTGCTTGCCATTCTCCTATATCCAATACCCGAATCTGGCCCTGCTCAAACCAAGAAAAGTAAGACCTCGATGTAGTTCTGCCTGTAGATTTCAATTGACAGTGTTAGATTATTTCCGACACTTTCTTGGTCGTTTACATAGGCCACAAGATTTTCAATTCATTGTAGATGGCATGACAAGAATCTTGAACCAGCCTATGAATACTACGAGCTCCTACATTCCAGGAAATCAATCATACGCAAAATGCGCTTCAGAGATGATCATGTTATTCTGGGAAATCACCCAATGTAACAAACGATTCAGGTCATTTTTGATTGATACTGATCGATCACACGATTTCGTTATCTTAATCATATTCTATTCTCTAGAATACAGGCTAGATGCCTCCAAACAAGGAGTTGTACGGATGTGTATTTTCATCTTACAGACCTTGAGTGTGGAACCAAACTTTGGCAAGAATCTTAACAAGAGATTTGAGGCCCAGGATACTTTACCGCCGAGTATCAGACTTCAGTCATTCAATGGGACATATGCCGATTTCCTCATACAAGTAGGTTTTTTCTTTCGGGGCTTAATCTTGCAACACTGACGAAGAACAGTCAATTTACAATATAATAACCACAAGCCAAGGAAAACTCACAGCCATATATCCTGCCTTGTTAGCAGTGATAAATAACATCGCTGCTTATCTGGAGAATATCAGTGCTCCCACATCTTCAAAACTCTTGCAATTGTTTGCGTCGATGTCATCACCAGGGTTCCTTTTATCGAACGACAGTAATCATGATCTCCTTCAGTCTCTTTTGGAGAGTATGAATGCTATCATTGAGCACCAGTATCCTAGTGAGTTACCCTAGTATTATGATTCATTTTGCAAAAACAAATTACTGACTACCCATCTAGAGAACCCTAACTTTGTGTACGCTATTTTGAGAAATAAGAAGAAATTTGAAGGTATAGATTCACTCCTCATATTTTGAGTGCCAACTGACTCTGGATTAGCCTTACGACATTTTACTTTGGAAAGTGGCCAAGAAGAGATAGAAAGGAGAAACAGGCGAAAGAAAGAACGTTTAGCAGAATCAGGGGACGTAGACAGTAGGAGAGGCTCCGCGGATAGTATACGGAGCCCATCTATAAGCCATCCACGAGGGGCATCAGCGCTTAGTAATGTGCCAGAGGAGGATACATTTGCAATTGGAGACGATGACGATGAGGATAGCGACGGTGAAGAACGTCCCACTCCAGCAGCATCACCTCCCACAGACCAACCTTCAAGGGCCTCATCGATATCTTCAAGCATTGACGATACAGTCCCTACGCAACTACGGGGAATGTCAGAAAAAGCCAGGGGGAAAATGCCTGGTATGTATTTCTGCCATCTGGTCGCCGGACAAGTTACTAACTAGCAACAGCTGGCATGCCCACATTTTCTAGGCACAACAGCACAACGAGCTTAAGTAGCTACGCAGCATTTTCATCGAGCGGTGTATTTGAACCTACGCCTCAGTGGATAGAGACCTGGCTTCCAGAACTCCCACTTCATACTATCTTAACACTTATTGATCAAATCGATTCTCTCATCTCAAATCCTAATAATCCTTCCGATACTCCTTCAAATAATATTCTCCGCACCATTCAACAGGCCGAAATAAGAGGAATTGAGACTACAGCCATTCGTATTCATTCTTTTGAGTGGACGCCGTTATCGCTTGGTTGGTACGAATCCCTGCTATGGGCATTTGTATTCACATCTGAAATGCAGGTTGCGAAGGGTACAATAGGTGTTTGGAATGGCACAGCAATAAAATTGTTTAGAGTCCAAGAAGTAGCAGCACATGGACCTACGTTTAGCTCCCCGAGGGGTGCAGTCGACGCTGTGGGTAGCAATATTGTGAGTAGGCTTGGTAGCATGAATTTGAGGGGTGTGGCACAAGGCGGTACGACTTCAACCCAGTCAGGTAGCAGTGGCGGCGGGGGAGGAGGCATTGTGAGGACTGGCACCGGAGGATCGTCTAGAAACGAATCGCCGTTAGGGGGTAGGAGTGCGATTATATGATTGATCGGCAATAGATTAGCATGTTAGGTATCATACACGGCAGAGTTTGTTGGCATACATGCATGCAATTTGGCAAATCACCTGCGAGAATCCCTTCAGCGTTGGCGCATAGGAAGAGGAAAAGAGACTAGGCGAGTCACGTATAAGATACACTGATAGCAATAAGGAACCTTTGTGCCCTTTTTTGAGACATACTAGATCCGACTAAAAAGGCTGTTTCTCCTTTCTTTCTGTGGAAAAAGTGCCACATGTAATGTAATCACAATTAAAACCCATGAATTCCAAGGTTAGGTATCTATTAATTGCCCAAAAATATCAGGTTGGACTTAGTGCGCATGTGTTTCTAGTGCAGATCTTGATGATCCTCAACACTCAAGATAAGCCAGAAGATCTGAAGCACTTTATGAGATGTGGCTGTGTATCCTATCCGTTAGCAATCCTTCCTTACTTGATTGTTCCGTGGTTTGAACTTGTGTTGACAAGAGTCGAGCCAGTCACTTCTGCTTGATCTTCACGATCGACAAATTCTAGAATATGCATAACGGGCAGAAGTGTGGCTGTGCCTAATGATCATTTCCGAGGTAGTTACTCCAGCGCATTTGATAGGTTGCATATGGATGGATATTAGGAGCTTACGCCACACCTGTGGCGCAAGCTTTCTATGAGCTGAGCTCTTGAGGTCCCTTCTGGTTCTTGAGATATTAAAGAAAGATAGTATTGTCACTTGAAGCTCGACGGTAAGATTTGGATACTTTCTATTCTGCATGTCGATTTTGATGCTGGAGAAGAGTCTTTTGGAACTTTTGTTTCTTATCTAAAAAGAGAGAAATTGTGATTTTGTTTTTAATCTGCACGCGCGCGCAAAATAAAATACACTGCGTTTTGTACATACATCACTTGGAAGCCCGAGGAAAGTATTGGTCTAAGTTGAGGATAACGGAAATGGGAAGGAGTGCGGCACTTCCTAGTGTTGCGGAGCATGTGCATGAGAGAGAAGCTATGGGAAAGGGGGGAGTGGAAGAGGTGATAAAGAAATATAGAGTTCATGTGAGTACGCTCTGAATCATATTCATCCCCTTTTATGGGAATCAGAATGGCGTATCGTGTTTGAGTTGGAGATCAGCAGTGGCATGTGATGAATATGGGATGGAGGGAGCTAATGTAATGGGGACTAATGGCAAACTAATAGGTTAGTTCGAAATATCTCGATCTAACAAAGAAGAAATTGGAATTGACGCGATTGCCGCACGAAAGGCGAGGAGAAGAGGGGGGGAATAGTGGAGGGGATACGGAGAGTGAGCAATTGAACGAAGAAGGTGTGGTAACCAAGAGGGAGATTGAGGGGTTGGTTGATTATTGGTATGCTTACTCCAGATGATTGCTCAGGATCTGTTGCAGGACTCGACACTGCAGTAAACAAAATAAAAACAGGAAAGGGCTAACATATGATTATACGCAAAGGCTAGAAAACTATTCCTGGCGCACAAGGGAGGATTATTATAATTCCACATACCCTCAATATCGCACTACATTTACGATTCCGAAGTCTAACACCAATGCTCCAGAAGGGTCGAGTCAATCGCTACGCATTCATTTTATACACATACGCAGTTCTCGCGCCAACGCAGTTCCGCTGTTGTTAGTTCCAAGTTTTCCAAATAGCAATTTGAGTTTAGATATCGAAGGGTTGAGTAAGGAGTTATGTGAGCCAGAGATTTTGGGGGAAGATGTTCAAGAACACAGAAGCGGACAGAAACAGGGACACAAACAGGCTTTTGACATTGTGATACCATCGATACCAGGTACGGGATTTAGCGATGAGATACCTGGATCTAGAGCGGATGTTATGGGGGAAACTGCCAGATTATTTGGACAATTGATGAAAAGGTTGGGTTATGAAAATTATATTGCATCAATGATGGGGTCTGGGCGAGAGAAGGGTGGGGAAGTGGATCATTATTTAGGCAGAGGGATTGGTGATCTGGAAGGCTGTAGAGGTGTGCATTTGATTGAACCGAGATGGGGAGTCCCGACTGCGAAAGAAGGAGTTTGGGATTGGGTAAGGTGGAAGGTGGCACTATTTTTTCACGCGGGAGTTTGGGGGTATGAAGAAGGAGATTGGAGGAACTTGAGTTTGCAGACGAGGAAAAGCCAACACAAAATCCCGACGAGAATGTCGTTGTTGAGTGGGAAGAAGAAGAAAATGGGACATGGAGCCGTTATGAGTATTGGATTGAGAGAACCAGATGCAATAGCCTACGCGCTTTGCGATTCTCCAGTTGGCCTACTGAGTTTTGTTGCGACAGCACTTAAGAAGAAGAATCCGAAGCATCAATTGAGCAAAGAGAAAATTATCGATCTTTGTCAATTATGTTGGTTGCCTGGACCTGAAGCTTCGTTGCGATATTATACAAATGCAATACAAGAAAGCGAGCAGTTAGGAGGAGAAAAGAGGAACGGCAAAAGACAAAGGGTAGCAGTAACGGTATTCAATGGAGAGGAAGGTTCTGTTGGGTATAGTCCTCCTGCTTGGGGAATGGGCATACACGAAGTCGTCTTCGTTCAAAGGGTTGATGGAAAGGCCCGACTTTTGGAATGGGAGAGATCGAATGTTATCTTTGAGGGCATTCGTGGCTTGGCAAAGGAAGTATTAAGATTGGATGGCAATATCCAGCTGCGAAGATTGGAAGGAGTAGTTGTTGATGGGGGATTGGGACATCTCGAATCCAGTCATGGTATGCAACTAGATGTTGAGAGTCCGGATACAATCATTGCAGGTTAAAGTCATGATGGTGTAAACCGAATGCGAATATCAGAAAATAAGACCAGATCAACGTTTGAGAGACAATATTGCGACGACACGGTGAATATAATAGAAGACGAAGAGGATATATGAGTTGCAGTGCTAATGTGGAACGATCTGTTTTTGAGATACCAAGGGAGTGTTTACTTTTACACATACGAATTTCTTTGATAAATTAATGTTCATATACGGCACGCTATCAAACGCTAAACACACGTGAAACCAACTATCTGAAAAACACATTGAATGCCAAGACATCGGGCTGACCCCAAAAAAATTGACGCCCGCGTTTGTTGGTAAACGGGAGAAGTGTGATCCACCCGGCCTCGGGCTCACAATGGCATTGCAGTAGATCGAAGCTTTTTTCTCCACAGTGCAGTGAAACGTGCTCGGGAAAGTATCTTGGTTGGAGGCCTTTTCTTACTGATCCTTCTCATTGTTGGAGATGTGATATCAATAAGGTTGTCCAATGTGATCTGTCATGTGTGGAAGGCTTAGTTTTGCTGCTCCCTCGAGACCAGCAGGGCGCCAAGAATTATTGGAGGCCTTGCGGTGCAAGTTTGTGCACCTCAAGAATAGCATAGGCGATGGCCATGGGGTGTCCTGGTGTAACTCTTAGGCGGTTTGTACCGAGGAGTGTAGGTTGTTTCATGGCTACAATATCGAAATTACCAGCGAACTTGTGTTGCTTTGTGCTAGGACCTTGACGTGCAAAAGTGTAAATTTGATTGGCATCAAAACGGTGAAAGGGAAACCTTGGAACCAATAGGGGAAAGCCAAATTCTCGTTAATAATATGTGGCTGAATCCTGTAAGCTAGGTGACTGGCTGGTTTCATACCTCAGCTCTCTCAAATTGTCTTGTGGTAAGGGGTAGAACTCTCCAGAGCAATCAAACGGAACTTCATCAAACAATCATGTATCATACATGATGTATGACATCTTGGCCACGGTAATGCAGGCTCACATGCTAGATGATGCCTACTTCAAAATTCGATGGTTTCTTATCTGACGTTTGAAGTACCGGTGTAAGATCTGCAACTGCGCAATAGGAAATTTACTCCAAATGTGGTACTCTTCCCGAAGAAACGAATCAGAATGGCTAGGGTGTGAGTGAGTACGTACGTCGAGCGTACACATCAGCTTTCATGTTATCTAGAGGTCAGAGAGAAACATGGTATTAATTGATAAAAGGGATATCTACAGCGAATCTTCATCAAGAACATGGTTATAACCATCGAAGAAACAGTGATTGCCGGATATCACATCATCTTACCATGGCCATGAGCGAATAGAAGATACCCAAGTTGTAGACCTCCATTTATCCTGTCAACCATAGAACACCTATGGTAAACGAGTGTGTCAGAATTAAATGCATCGCGGTAAATAGCCGCCATCATCTAATCGTTGATTCGGAGATTGAAGATCTTCCAAGGACTAGAACATGTGAGAATGATTTTTTTTTTACGTTCTACGACCCATCAACCGTTTTCTACAGGGAAGTGAAAACAATTTTATTTCTTTGCCTACTTATTATGAGGCTAGAGAAAAGGTTAACAATATGGACTTCTTTATTAGTACAGCCATCACACCAACAATCTTTCTAGCTGGCCCATATGAAAACTTTATTTTTTATTCAAATTCTCTTTCAATTGTACATAACATAATATAACATACAGACTATTCACCCCCGGCTGCTCGTATCATATCAATCTCCTCTTTGTCATCCTAGTCTCCTCATCTTCTTCGTCTTCCTCGTCCACTTCTCTCTTCTCTCTTCTCCTTCTCCTACCCCTTCTCCTGCTCCTTATGCCCTTTCTGTTTCTTATCTTATCACACAACACTTAATATTTCATATTCCATATTGACTCGTCGAATTGTACCAATTTCTCAAGGCATTTTGTCCAACAATTGTCCAGTTAAGGTGTTGTGATCTGCGTTGACGGACAAAGCTAAAGAATTATCAAGACCATTGTGCTTTGCTGCCAAGTGTTGATAAGACTAACAAAGACCATTCTCAAACCTCGTCATTTTTAATCTTCGAAAGCTTCTTTCCCCTTTTGCTTCGCCACATTAAGCATTATACAACAAACTGTCCGAGGAGTCTGTCGCAGACTTCCTTCGCGACTTCCTCGGGTCTGCGACCCTTATACAATGCATTCCGTGCAAACGGGGATTTCCAACTATTCATCAAACTCGAGTAGCTGATAATTTTAATACCTCCTGCGGAGCGCTGCCAACACTCCTTGGTCGAACTTTTCTTTCGGAACGGCAGAGATGTTCACCCTTCTGCTAGAACTATGGCAACATATTGCGGCTCTCAAGCCATCTTTTATTTCCAAAAGCCCCCATTTCAATTTCATCACTGTACATTGTAAGTTCAGAGAGACACAGATAATGGAAAACTCCGTATTGTGTAACGACACTAACTTAACATCATGAAAAGATTTCTGGATCATTGGAATGACTCTGCTCGGTTCTATCTGTTTATATATTCGAGGAGGAATACCTTACATAGATGCGCTATTCTTCGCAAGTGGTTGTGCAACCCAAAGTGGGTTGAACACTATTAACATTAACACCCTCAACACGTGGCAGCAAATTGTCCTATATCTCATACCGATATTCACGAACCCGATCACGATCAATTCCTTTGTAGTCTTCCTTCGATTATACTGGTTCGAAAAACGATTCCAACACATTGCTGCCCAGAACAAGAGAAATCGAAGGAGTATCGCCAAATCATTCTCGAGATCGAGAACAACTGGTGCGGATACTGCAGATGCGGAGAAAGGTGTAAATGGCAGAAACATTGTTGTAATGCATGGCACGACAAGAGCAAACGTTATGCGCGATAATCGGGAGGCTATTGATGATATCCAAGCGGCGATCGAGCAAGAGAAGGCGCTAAACAAGGCAGATGCTATCAATGGCTCAGGAAGCAGTAACATATCAAGTACGGAGACTGCGAACGATCCCAGTCCTACTTCACATCATACACAAATTAAATTTGCCGATCAAGTAAAGAGAAGTAACGGACTGGCCGATGAAGAGTTGCGATTGCCAGTTCGTCGTAGGGATGAAGACCATATTGCCTTCTTAGAACGTCAAAGGAATCCGGAAGACAGGACCATTCTTCGAATTCCTGGACCAAGAGATGCAGATGCTGGTGTTGCTCCACAAACCGTTGAAGAGGAGGAGGAAGATCCAGTCATAAGGACGTTATCTCGCAGAGGTTCAATGTATTCTCGACCGGAGAGCCATGGTCGTGGCACTTTGAATGGAGAGTCGCAATGGCAAGATCATTATCCTTCAAGGAAGCGTAACGTTACAATCGAAGTTCCAACACATCCTAAAGTTGAGCGGGCGGTGGATGATGTGAAAGCTGCAGGCGCTACCATGAAGGGTGTTATGAGATTCCGCAACAACAGAAACACTGAGGGCGCCGAAGGCACGGATGCTCAGGGAAATGGAAATGGCGCAGTCATGTCGAAATTGAAGTCAAGAGCTCCAACATTTCAAAGCATCAAAACAGCTCTTACTGGCGAAAAGGAGGACCCTACTCCTTATTTGAGTTGGGCACCAACCATCGGTCGTAACTCAGCCTTTGTTGATCTCACCGAGCAACAAAGAGAAGAACTCGGTGGAATTGAATACAGATCGCTGAAATCTTTGGCTCTAATTTTGTCTTGTTATTTCCTAGGGTTTAGTATATTCGCCGTTGTTTGTCTATTGCCCTGGATTCTTAATAGTCGTACCTATGGCTCAATAGTTGAGCAAGATGGTCAGGGCAGAGTTTGGTGGAGTATATTCACAGCTAGTTCTGCTTTCACGGATCTGGGATTTACCCTCACCCCTGACAGCATGATCTCTTTCAATACTGCTATTTGGCCACTCTTGTTGATGTCATTTCTGATTATCATTGGCAACACGGGATTTCCGATCATGCTCAGATTCATCATTTGGGTCACCACATTGTGGGTGCCCAGAAACAGTGCGGTTTGGGAGGAATTGAGATTTTTGCTAGACCATCCTCGTCGATGTTTTACGCTGCTTTTCCCAAGTAAGGCGACTTGGTGGCTGTTCTGGATTCTTGTAATATTGAACGGGCTCGACTTACTGTTTTTTATTATACTTGATGTAAGTTTTCCCATTCCTCGTAGTATTGTGCTTTACTGATGGCTTGTCTTAGCTTGGTAATTCTGTTGTGACTGATCTTCCTGTCAATATTCGTGTTCTCGATGGTTGGTTCCAAGCTGCTTCCACAAGAACAGCTGGGTTTGGAGTTGTCAATCTTGCACAACTTCATCCTGCCATCCAGGTTTCTTATCTCATCATGATGTATATTTCTGTTCTCCCTATTGCCATTTCTGTTCGTCGCACAAACGTTTATGAGGAAAAATCACTGGGTATTTACGGATCGCCAACAGAGGAAAATGAGGACGAGGGTGAGCCATCCTACGTCGGTGCCCATCTTCGAAGACAATTGTCTTTCGATTTGTGGTACATTTTCTTGGGCCTTTTTATCATTTCAATAGCTGAGGGCAGCCGCCTCCAAGGTACTGATCCGTCTATTAATATGTTTTCTGTCTTGTTTGAGATTGTTAGTGCCTACGGTACAGTTGGTCTGAGTCTAGGATATCCGGGAATCGATGCCTCTTTATCTGCCGAATTCAATGTTGTCTCCAAACTTGTCATTATTGCGATGCAAATTCGTGGGCGTCATCGTGGTCTTCCGTACGAGCTCGATCGGGCCATCTTGTTGCCAAGCGAGCATTTGGCAGAAAAAGAAGCTTTGGATGCAACACAACGAGTTCATCGTCGGAATTCCAATGCGACGGCAGTTAGCAATGGAACGGATCTCGCGACTGTCAACACTGGCGTTCAAAGAGTCAACACGGAGCGTCAAGCCCCATCAACGAATTTCCTAAGCAGTCTTCTTCACCCAGGCCCAACCATTCCAAACAGCCATCGGAATCAAGGTACAACTCATGTTAGGCGGCACAGCATAGCAACACCAGAAAGAGGACGAAGTGTCAGTCCAAAAGCTAGTGGCGGCATCTTCTCCAAATGGAACAGCTCCGATAAACATCAGAATAATGTGGATAAGAAAATCTCCGAATGATCGAGATAATTATGGAATGGAGATGTGGATCAATTGTACAAAAATTAGTTGTGGGATAAAAGCACTGGGCTTTTTTTCTTTTTTAAAAGGGGGAGGCTGCGAGAATATGGGATACTGCTACGACATAATGATACCTTAGATCGAATTTGCTTTTTGGGGCATATGTTTTGATGATTTTGGAGTTGTATGTTGATGGGTTTATAGACGTGTACGGGTAGCGTTATCGTTATTGTGTTTGGCATGTTGGGGAAACTCAATGGAGTGTAGCGAAGCGTGGGTAAATGAAACTTCAGTTTGGAAATTCGGGATTCGGGTTCAATTATATTCTATATAATGGCATGCATAGGTGTTTTGGGAGTTTTTATGGCATATAGTACAAATCAGCGTGGGTCGTTGTAAATATGAAGATGGCATGGCATGGCTTTGAATATTGATTACACATGATTTTTGCATTTCTCTGACTTGCATAAAATAAATAGAGCCTACCCCCCGGAGCCCGTCCGAGTCTGCTATGATAAGGTCCCGTTGTGTCGATCAGGTATTTAGCCCTTAATACCTGTACTTTCAAGGAAACCATATGTAAGAGTTGAGGCCCCAGCTTATCGCACATTATGCTTTTTTGAACCTCAATCTTTAAAATTTAATTATAAATTAATAATATAATATTATTATATAAAATTTGAATATTATATTAATAAATAATAACTAATTCTTATACTTGAATTATATTTTCAAGTTTATATATCAATTTCTTAATATATAACTTAAATCTATAAAAAAAAATTAAAAAATTTAAAGAGTTTATAGTTTATATTTTAATTTCTTTATAAAAGTAGGTATAAATAATAGTTTTTTTAATTTTGCTTTTATTTATCATTATACCTTTTCAATTGGATTGAGATCTGGAGAGAAGGGTGGCTAATTAAAGCCTCATACGCTATACTCTAATTAAGCTTTTTAAATATGTTCTGAATATATCTTAGTGTTACGGGAGCTGCCTCTAGGGTTATGTGGAAGTGGCTAGAGATCTCTCGAAATGGTTTAGATTAAACTTCAAGTAGGAATTCAATAAGGTTGTAATTGATTATAATTCTTATAATTATAATAATGAAATTAATAATTGTTTTTAAGTACAAAGCTTTATATATAAAGAAACCCTATTCCTTATATAAACCTTTGTTCTCTATAGAACTATAAGATTTTATTCTACTTAAATCCTTTGGATCTTATAGATCTAAATATTTATTCTTCGATCCTCTAGATCCTCTAGGTCCATCACGTGACCGTTTGGCCATGTGACGCGGTATGTTGAATACCGTCGTAACACTTAGAATCATTTTCCATAAAAATATATTCAGACTTTAACTTATTAAATAGAGGGAATATAATAGACTCAAGCATTTATTAAAGATATACTTAAAAAGTAATACCTTTATTACTCTTAAGTCTTTTTAAAAAGATTAATAAAGATTTATAGTTTTAATTAATTGTATTCTATATTATTATTAACATTTTTCCTAATTAATATATTTTTTTTCATTAATCTATCTAATAATCTAAATTCTATTTACTTTTTCTAATTCGAAAATGTTTTTATTCGATTATATAATCTTTCTTTAATCATCTCCTCCTCTTCTAATAATAATATAATTAAATATCCTTTATTATTAATACTTATATATAAAATCCAATCTTTTTTTATTTACATTCTTAAGATAAAAAACTTAGAACATACTATATACTTTTTATACTTATATTAATGTAATTTCTTTCGAATTGTATATATCGATGTAGTAATGCTAAGTACATTTTTAATTTGCTTGAAAATTATCTTCCTTTTATTTCAATTTTTTATTATAGTTTTTATAATTTAATGAATCTTTTTAATAATCATTTTAGACTTTTAATAAAACTCCCCTTTTCAAATTCTTCAAATCGAATTAAACTTAAATATACTTTTTATAATAAATTATAGTATATTTAAATTTGAGACAATTTATTTTTAGGAATTTTTATTAAGTTTGATTTGAATGATTTTAGAATTTTAAGGGGTATATTAATTTTGATAAGATTTATGATTATTATTTTTATAATTATGCTTATTATTCCTTTTGGATTGAAATAGAAAATAATAAAGATTAGAATAATGATTGAATTTTTAAAATAAGGTGTAATAAATAAGATGGTTAGGCTTATTTCGCTTAAGTGTGCGATAAGCTGGGGCCTCAACTCTTACCTCTCGCATTCCATACTTTTTGTCGGGATACCGGATTCGCGTAATTACGTAAGCAGACATCGCTTCTCTCTCTGTGTCTAGATGACTCACTAACGAGTCGTCCTCCTAGTATCTAAATCCCTCCTCCAGCTCCTAGTTTTCCTATCTTCTTGATCCATAGACACAATATAACCAGGAATTACCTGCACCGTAGTCTTTAGTGTGCTGTCCCCTTAATCACTCGTGATCTTACAACTTCAGTTACTGATAGTAATCAACGCTTTTTGTCGCAATATGTCTTCTGCAAATCCCAATCTCCGCACTAGAAATCTTATTCTTCGTCCCGCCGTCCCTTCCGATGCTGCTCCCCTCGCAGCCATTTTTGCTAACCCCCTCAACAACCAACATGAACCGCACACGCCATGTAACCCAACGGTAGAGGAATACCAAAGCCGGATCGCCAAATGGAATGATCTACGCGTTCGTGGTAAAGCCTACTTTTTAGTTATAACCCGACGCCCAACAACAGAGACGGGATCAGCTTCACCACCTGCGGATGAAGTTATCGGCTTCGGCGGCATCAATGCAGTCTCTACAAACGCTCAAGGTAAGCGAATTGCGGACCTAGGTGTTCTGATTGACAGCTCCGAGTGGAGGAAGGGGTACGGGCGGGAAGCGTTGCAGGCCACGTTGGAATTTGCATTCCGAATGGTGGAGGCGGAGGGCGTCGGATGTGAGGAGGCGTTTTGTGAGACATTGGCGGTGAATACGCCGTTTCAAGGACTGGCTGGCCGGATGGGAATGGAGAAGTGGAAGCGGATAGCGAGTGATGGAAAGGAGGTTGAATACAGGTTTAGCAAAGAGGATTGGGAGGAAATGAAGAATGGAAGTGCTTGAGTCGGGCCACTGAGATGGAGACTTTGATGAAATTTAAAACAAAGTTGCTCGCAATTAATGCCACACATAAGCCTGTACAGAAATGCCTCTTCTTACAAGCTGCCGCAGCTTTAGAAATATTAGGCAGATCAGTTTGGATCCTTGTGTCGTCCGTAACAAGAAGTCAATATCGTAAAGGATAATGTTGAGGTGGATACAGTGCCATAGTGAAATGACATGTGGTCCGTACAATATACCTTGATGAATAATTGATTTGATTTTATGTTGGAAAGCGAATGTGAATGATTGATCAGAGACCAGGAATCCTGATGATCTAGAATCAGTGTGTGATACTCCTGACTGTGAAGTCTTAAGAAGCCCATTCATCCGGCCAGGCTATCTTGATTTATATATTCCAGAATATTTCGATTCGTATCGTATCCTCATTTCATTCTGTGCTCTTTATTGTATACTCCAGCGCCCTCGCTTGTTCCACAAGGTCTATGTAATGATCATCATCCTTATCCACATCTCTAGTGCAAAACCCTACTTGCATAGCAAGCGATTTGTAGTCCTGTAGACGGATAGAATCTCGATTCTCGATTCTCTCCCAGATTCTTCGGCGTGCATCGCGTACTTCCTTTGTGTCTTTTGAATTGGGGGGGTGGGAATCGTTGACGTTCCTCCTTGATTGCTTCGCATCTCTCTCTTAATACCATAATGAGCATAATGTCATGAAAAAGAGAATAAATGCCAAATAAAAGAGACAGAACACAGTGTCGGCGGTGTGCATCCATGAAGATGAGGATTTGGATAACGCGCATATATTTGCGGATTCAGATGGAGAAATAGAAGTCATTGTGGGAGATGATAATGATGGAACGGTGGTTGGTGGTTGGTTTGGTGTCATCATCTTGAAGCGTGATTAGAGAAGTTGAGATCGATGGTGTTTCTTGTATTATCCTGTAGATGTATAGAAAAATCCCGAACAGTAGATGTTTTTAAATGGAGTTGTTGTTGGACATACATGCAATTCTCAAAAGCATCTGCACTGAAGATAGATTTTAAAATATATATGTTGGTGCGAACGCTAGGCTGGGCTGGTATGGCGAATCGGGAAATCTTTCCACCAAAGTCTTTTAAGCTCCAAACTCTAACCTCTGACCGGCTCAATCTTAGTATACATGGTGATGTTATCAATTCGTGCAGATCCATGCAGGAAATCAAACATCATATGTTCTATCTCCGAATGATCTACCCATTTTGGGTTTGGAGTCTCAAAGTATCCAAAAGTCTGGATTGCAGCCCGACGATCAGGAGCTTTCCTTGCCTGAATATGATAAGATTATTCCAATAGTTCAAAGGATCGAATCCATCTTAAATATTGTATTACTTTCAAATGTTGAGAGCCTCTGACTGTCTGACTGCAGCGCAAGGAAAACCCAATTAGGCTGAACAGGTGATATGGTAATGGCGGACTAGAAAGGGTAGACGGAGGATAAAAGGCAGAAATCGATTTTTTGTAGTAAATTCTCCTGTATATTCCACTATCTACATTCGAGGCAAAGTCCTTGCATAACAAAAATTTCTCCTAGACCCTTTAGCCACTTGTGATATGTCCGCTCCTTTTCGGTAATTCTTCAATAAGAGCTTAGAAATTAGATAGGTGAACGGTGAAGGGCAATAGACGCAACCAACTCCTGACTCCCTATTCCCAACCCTCACCACCTAATAAGCAAAACTACCTCTCCTTCTCCTGCCCCCCTGTCCTCCTCCACTTCCACTCCCACTTCTCCTTTCTCCTCTAACCTTACTCTTACTTTTACTCTTCGTTTCCGTTCCAAAAAGATCGAGAAGAGTCTCGCCTAATCCACTCAATCTCTCGAAATCTCCCGCATCTCCATCGTATTCATATCGCTCACTACTCCTAGTTCTTTCTCTTTGTCTCCGCGAATCATAACGTCTACCCCCATTTTCATGGCGATCTTGATCCCTGGATGAGCCGCGGGAGGAACCGAGCAAGGAACGAAGGGCGAGGGCGATGGCTACCCACCAGAGGGCTTTCATTTTCGTGGTCTGATTTGTTCGGATTTATTCTTTAGAAATTTGAAAGTCCGAGATAGTCTGAGTGTTCATTTGTTCTTACTATAATTATCTTGAAAGTAGGAAAACGTGGCAGACTTGATTCTCGATGCTTAAGGTGAAGTGTTGGCTTAAGTTTTGATGCAACGACGTGCTTGCTGGAAGATGTATGTTTGACAGTTGAGAAAAAGATGTGATGTTGTGGTTTTGGCAACAAGATGTAGATTTGTAAAGATTACAGAGTGGAAAGAAAGGAGTATAATAACATGATTGTATACGCTTGAGTAGGACAATGTGTCACCCAGTAGGAGTCAGAGTCGAGTCATTTGATGTTTGGAGAGTGATAGTGAATCTATTTATCACGCCATCTTATTGAAATATATCCTTCTAGTGAATTTAGAATGGAATAAATTGATACCCGGCTTGAGTAATTGTGCCGTGATATCACAATACTATCCCCTAAGGTGCCAACTGCGGCCGGGTTAGCTTAACAGGGATCATAGTGACGGTTCCAGGGTGGAAAGGTAGAAATAATAGAATCAGTAGTTCTCTTTCAGAATTATGTATTATTTTGCCTACCGATACAATGCTTTTCATAAAAGTACAACATGATAAAGAGTTCATGAATCGTCCTTTTTCCCTCTAAGAAATCTGGCTATGCCAGAAGTATAAACGCCCTACGCCTATAACCTGCCTTTCAGGGAATAGGTTGCTCTCCGAGCAATCTAAACCACAGAGAACTGATTTGTTGTACAAGATGACTGTTACAACAACAGGAAATGAATGGTGATACACAAAAAGGAGAATTTATTTACCAGCCAATAGATATTCTTCGACGAGGAAGAAGTGCAAAAAAGTATAAAAGTTTCGGAACGCGAAAAATGCAAAATCACACCAGACCAACCTTGCAGAGCATGTTGTTACAATGGTAATTTAAAGCCTCGATACCCCAAGAGAAACACCAATTACTGGTATCTAACCTCGCGAGCTTCTGCGGCTGCAGGAGGCGGCTCCGGATGGCGAGGATCGTATTCCTCATAATAAGCAGGATCCGTATGTCCAACGGTTGGGCGTGCTTCGTAAAGAGGTTGCCTCGAGAGCGGCTCGCCCTCATATGCCGCATAAATTGTTTCATGTTCTCGGCGGGCAGGTCTATGTATGATATAAGGACCTTGAGAATCGTACTGGATATATTCATAAGCTTGTCGAGGTCGAGGCTCATCGGCGTAAACACGATAGTACTCCTGGCGTGGAGCCCTTTCATAGATGATCTCTTCTTTTGGTGTCCGCATGCGATAGATGGGCTCTTGGCGATCAATATGGGGGTCTAGACTGCGTTCGGTATGCTGTCCAGATTGCGCGCCCGCCTTAACGTATACTGGTGACCTTGAACGTGCTCGGTCATTGTCTAATCTGACACTCTCATATCGAGCATATCTGCTCGGAGTACGATAAGCACCATGACTTCCTTGTCTCTCGTCACGATATATTACATTGCTCGGGTATCTCCGATCAATGATTTCAGGAGAACGCTCTCGTGCGAAGGGTTGCTCATGAGCAGTATCCATATAATGATCGTTCGTAGCATAAGCTCGAATGTGTCGAGCTTGAGGAGGGCGCTCTTGTGTATAGTACCCATTGTAAGACCCCTGCTCACTGGGGACATGTGTGGGTCGACCGGACACGGTTGGACCATCATTATATACTTCTCGAAAACGCTGCTGTGGTTCTGATGACAGGGGGCGTCTCTGGCGCACACCATCAGCGCGTTCTGCTTCCCATTTCGGCTCGATGTAATCCTCTCTATGTCGCATGGGTTGCTGAACTCTTTGGCTAACCGCATCAGAACGCTTTTCGGGCTGCAAGCTGCCAAGAAATCGTTCCGCTTCGTTTGTCGCTTCATCTAACGGTCGCTTATGATTGTCATGCGCAATCGTATCTCTTTGCAACTCACCGTCTTCGGACCCGATCTCAGCAGGCCCTTCACGAATGGTTGTTTGTTTTCCACGTGCTTGCTGTGCCTGCTGAGAGATCTGAGCTACGACATCGAAGATACGGGTTTGTTGAGATGTTGCATCCTCTAATGGCCTGTACTGAGTCTCCAATGAGGTTTTCGCACCACTGGAGGTGTTGGATGATGTTTGTTCCTGTCGATTTTGTTTATGCGATTGAGTGTTTGCGGCTCCATACTCTTGAACGGAGGTAGTTAAATCATCGTAGCTTTTGATGGTTCGTTCGTAGCGAGGTCTGTGTTCCGCATTGTTTGCTTCTCGATACCTAATATTTCTATCCAAGTAGATTGGGGCTTCATCATTGGCGGTACGGCGGCTATGACTTTCTTCGGGTCTGGCATAAGATACAAAAGGTGATATAGACTTGGTGGGTCGGCGAACATTAACAATTTCATCGTGGATTGTTTGGCCGTCTTGTTCATGATGGGATGAAACGGCGATCGATGCGGGGTAACGTAATGATTGTCGTTTTTGCACATCTCGAGGGTGCCGTGGATCATACGGATTATTATTATGAGTAACAGAAACCGATTCGGTATCAGGAGTTCGGAAGTCTGCAACAGTGGCATAGTATTTTTCATGATTGTCTTGCGAGGGCGCAAGGGGTACGCTTATGTCCTGACAGGCATATGGTACCTGGTGCCAAAGAGATGTTTCTTGATCTAGAGGCTCAGCTTTTGGCTGCCACGATGAAGTTTGCTGAAGCATGGTGTCATTTTTCGGTGGTAGAGTCGCAGCGATCTCTGGGAGCGCTTCTAAAAAGATCTCAAGCTTTCGAGCTTCCATTCCTGGGGCAGTTGCAAGTGAAGAGATTTTCGCCTGATCGGGAAGCTCGACCATGTCTTTTGTCCAATCTGGGAAGTGACCTATAAGGTTTGAAGGCACTCCTTCCTCATGTATTGTGCGGAAGTGGATGGTAAGTTGGGGAAATGAAAAGTGTTTCCTATCAGGCTTTGAAGAGGTAACAGAACCTGCCATACCTAGTACACAGGCTCGACACAGAAGTCCATTAATATTTCGGACAGGTCGCATGTCCTTATTGTTGGACAATCCATCAACTATCATCGAGAGTGGTGGATCCTGCCCAAACTTGGAGCGAAATCTTTTTAATATGTGAAAGAGGATTGTGTGTGCCTTTACGCTACCGGGAACTTCTTTCACGCCAGTTATCGAGTCCCAAATAGTCCTAGCGTCGTGACCAAGCTGTCGAAGGTGGGCTTTATACTCCTCGGTCTTTTGTGGTAACGGAGAAGCCCGAGGTTGTGCTTGCTGCGGTGCGGACGCTGGCATTTGTGAGTAATTTACATTGGTGTAGACTGGTGGCTGATTGTACGAGGTAGGATGTTGGACATTGTGGGAAACATAAGATGATTGTTGGACATTGGTATCCAGTATTGGAGTAGGGTACATCTGGTTAGGGGTTAAAGGCGTATAGCTTGGCTGAGTCGGTGTAGAGTAGGAACCACCATAATGAGGCTGTGGATAGTTTTGAACAGGGTCGCTGTATCCTGAGGTTATGGCAGACAATGGTTGTGCTGTATATTGGGAATAGCCTTGATTCGGATCCTGGTATATTTGTTGCGGTGCATACGGACCAGGTTGGGGGGCTACATGTTGGTCTCCGTACTGGGAATGGCCATAATATGGATCCCGGTAAACATTGGGGTTCGGTGTAGCCGAGGCAAGCTGCTGATATCCAGCATAACCACTGTGCGGTGGGATAGACGGAGCGGAACCGGCGTAAGGAGCGGTGGCACTTGGCCCAGGAAAATTAGGGAAGACAGTTCTAACCCGGGCAATAGGATCTGGACAAAACGGTGGATACTCTGGCCATTCTGATTTCCAATGTACAACTATGCTACCAAAACTGAGCGAAGTGGTATGCTTGGCAGCAAAATGCTGAACAACGCCCTCGAAACCGTAATACTTAAAATTGTTGTCGCAGACGTTGCAAAGAAAAAGGTCTTTGTTGTACTGCTCGGTGAGAGGTTTTATCTTTGTATCAAATACCCACTTCATATTTTCCAAAGTTAGCTTACGAGTGTATGGCCCCAATGGAGGATCCGATAGTGGCTCTTGACCCGTTGCCCGCACTGCAGCATCATCCTTGGCGATCTCAGCATAAAACCGTTTTCTAACGTAAATCAGGACATCTGCGGCAAATTTAGGACTAGATTCTTTGGTCACTTTGTCACCACAATTCCAGCCAGAACGAATTGTTTCATCGGCATATGCACCAATCCGAGCCCGGAGTGGAGCCTGGGCATCATCCCATTCTCTGTCAATGGCTTCCTTGAATTCCGGTTTGGCTTGGATATCCTTGAAATGGCGCTCCTCAACTACTTGGAATTGGGTAATCCGGTCATTTTCCCGTTGCTCGGCTTCTTCTCTCTGTGATAGTAATCGGGGCTTCAAAACTTCCCAGGCACCATCATTTAAAGGTTGAATTATCTGTATAGCGGCCTGGAATGAACTCATATGGGCTAGAACATTTGCTGTCAGTGGAGGATCTAACAATAAGGATCTTCGTTCAATTTCAGCCCTTCGTGTTGCTTTGAGATCGGCAACTTCCTCCTTGGTCCTTTCATGTTTTGGTTGTAAGTTTGACCGAGGTGTATATGCAGAATAAATACTCTGTGAAGGCGAGTCGTACCGCGGTACCGGAATGTTCGCCGCTATGGCCATATAGTCAGTTTCCACAGTATAAATAAATAGCATTAGCAAAGGAAGAACTTACGGAAAGAAGTGTGTATTACAGGTAATGATTTGGGGATCTGGGGTAATGAATGCGTGTCAGGCGTATGGTTTGGCAATTTTGATCCACTATTTATCAATACTTGTTGCCCTTTTGTAGGGATAAGATCAGTGTTTGAAGGAACTGCTGCAGGCATCTGTTTTGAGGGGTCATGTTGATCTGGTGTTTTGATCCGAATAATACCGCCACTGGCCTCCCATCTTTCCCATCGGGCTGAA